AAGTCTGGCACAGATGTCTATCCTTCCTCCCAATTTCTCCAACTCTAATGTCTGCACAATTCATTTCATTTCCATAATATATAGACTTATACTGTCAGGTATCCTTATAAGTTCATGTCTTGTCTGCACAGCTGGATTATGCATATTCCTTAAGTAAGAATCAGAGACTTTTTACATCTTGATATTCTATACAATGTCTAGTGTAAATCCTTGAACACATTAAAAGCTTAACAGTTCTTAATAAGTAATTGTTGAAATAAAGCAATTGCAAGGCATTACCTTAGGGTACTTGGAAAATCTCCAGAAGATTTGGACCAATCACTGTCTTTGTATCTTGAAGAATTTGTATGCTGACTTTTTAAGTTATATAACATAGTAGGTAATCTTTTTAGCTCTGGTTTCCAGGAAAATTAAAATGAAGTTCACTTACTGTGTTGGCTCCTTTCTTCCCTAACACTCCTTAATTCCAATTTTCCATTTCTATTCTTAAGATATTTTAAATCCCTTGCAAGGAGGAAGGATATTATAAATGCATTTATAAGATCATTTTTAAAAGTAGAAATCATTTTTTTTGCATTTCAATATGCAGTATGTATAAAAATAACTGATCACAATAAGATATGAGGTAGAGTAAGTCTTAAGTCCACCCATTGCAGGATTCATTCATCATTTTTAAAGAACAAACTGATAGTAAGGCTTTTCTTTTTAAGTAATATAAGTTCAACTGAATAAGTGGAACTTCAGATGAAAAAGAAACTAGAAGGTTCTATTATTTCAAATGACAATATTAAATTGCCAAGAGCAGAGCTATCTGGACAGAGCCTATATATATATTTAAATAAATTTTAGTTGTTGATAGACCTTTATTTTATTTATTTATATATGGTGCTGAGAATCGAACCCAGTGCCTCAAACATGCCAGGCAAGCGCTCTACCGCTGAGCCATAGCCCCAGCCCCAGAGCCCGTATTGATATGTAAATGAAAGACAAATAATTTTTTTGGAATATACCTGCCTAAAATATCTTACAAAATAGACAAAAAATGAATTTGAGGAACAAAACAGTGATAAATGCTGAACTTAAATTAATGTTTATCATGGAGTAACTGTAAAGTAGTTAGGAATTTTCTGTGGTGTGGGAATTCTTAAACGGTCTGCTTCAGG